TTGCTGTAGACGCCTGCTGCTGATTGGTTGGCCGACTGCGACCACGTGATGTTGATGCCCTGGTTCGGCCAATAGGAAGCTGAAACGTTCGTCGGTGGGAGGAGGAATGAAGAGGTGGCCGTCAAAGAACCATCTATAGAAAATATTTAAAATTTTTTAAAATTTATTTTTCACTCAATTTTTTAATTTGATTAAATTTAATTGAGTTGTATATTTTTAGTTTATAGAGGAAGAGACAAACTGGCAAACACACTGAAACATACAGAAAGAGCTATACAAAAATACAGACAGAAAAACAGACGAAAAAAGAGTCCGACACTTGTATACTTCTATGTGAGTGTGTGTGTGTGTGTATGTGTGTGTGTGTGTGTGTGTGTGTGTGTGTGTGTGTGTGTGTGTGTGTGTGTGTGTGTAAAGACAGGAACGTGGTGGTGGTGGAAGTTTATGAATCTCTGGTCGTAGAATCATTTTTGTACGTGCGAGATAAGATTGTTTGTTTGTTTATGTTCGTTTGTCTATGTTTGATTGCCTTTCTTTGTTTTTTATGTTTGTTTGTGTACGTTTTTATCGGTGTGTGCGTGCAAGTGTGTGTGAAAGTGTGTATGCGTGTGTGTGTATGTGTGGTTTATAATTCTTTGTTCAAGGACAGGTGTGTCCATATAATTGTATAAATTTGTGTGTGTTTGTGTGTGTTTGTCCGTGTCTGTGTATATGCATGCATGCATGTGTGTGTGTGTGTACGTACGTACGTACGTATGTATGTATGTGTATGTATGTAATTTTTAATTGTAATCGTAATTGTAGTTTGTTATAACATTATCAATGAATTGCCTTCATTTATTTATGCTGACACTTATGCATGCCGAAGCATTTTCATATAAGCATTTATACAATTTATGTTTGTATGTTTGATTGTATGTTTGTTTGTATGTATGTATGTGCGTATTTCGGCATGTATATATGTGTGTGTGTTTATGTGTGTTTGTGTGTGTGTGTGTGTATGTTTTGTAAACAAGAGTATGTGTGTATTTAGATGTTTGTATGAGCAAGCACCAATGTGTATATACTGTATGCCTGTGTGTATGTATTCATGTATGTATGTATGTATGTGTGTGTATGTATGCGTCTATTTTTAAATTATTTATACATGAAAATATACAAAGGTGTGTCTCACGGAGCATTATTTGCTTTACTTGGGTAAGAAAAATTTCATATCGTCAGATAAATCATTAGGGGATTCGCACAAATACACACACACACACACACGCACACACACACACTAACACACACCCACTAACACACACACAAAAACACGAACACAAAAACACGCACGCGCACACATTCACATACACATAGATGCAGATAAACAGACCAGAGAAGGAAAAAAATCTGTAATTGATTGCGTGACGTAACTTGTTGGAATCGTATTTTTGGTGTTTGCGAGTTTATGCGTGTGAGTTTGTATGTTTGTATGTCTGTATGTTTGTATGCTTGTATGTTTGTTCGTTTGTCTGTCTGTCTGTACATAAATGTGTGTTGACTGCTGATTATGAAGAATTGGATGCAACGTCATTTCTATTTTTCATTTTTTCTTATTTTTGAGATTTTTCATAAATTTTCATCTCAAGTCATTGACAGCAAATAATCGGAATAGTATTGAATATTTTCTATCAATGTATTGTTTATTTTGTCTCGGCACGTTTTGTATGTTTGTTTATCTGTGTGATTGATTGTTTGTTTGTATGTTTGCATGTCTGTGTATGTTTGCATGTCTGTGTATGTTTGCTAGACTGTCAACAAAATGATGCAACAAAAACTTCCTAATGTAAATAATCAATCTGGAGAATTGGAACCTTGAAACTAACAAACACAGACAAACATGTAGAAAGCAAAAACCCACGAACGCACCTCGTGATTGAATGACATCATGATATACGTCATATTTTCTCATCTGACTAGAGTCATCCGACCAGGATTTTTCATCTAAATAAATAATTGATTTTTGGTTTTTGGTTTTATTTTGTATCTTTTTTTGTCTTCAAAGAATAAAAATTAATTTTTTAAACAAAGAAAGTTAATGAAAAAAAAATATTTGAACATTTTTATATCATAGTTCTCGGTGTAACTTATCATCAACATTGTTTCCTTCAAACATATAAAAATACTCGCTTGTGATTGGCTCCGTGCTGACCAGTAGGGGAACGGGGGAAAATGTATCTCGATTGCCATTGGCCGACGATGACAAGAGCATAAACTGATATGTGGTGTTTGATTGGAGGTTATAAATAGTGGCGTCACCTGATTGGTTGGTTGTGAAAGTTACGTTTTGCCAGGGTTTTCTACTACTGTTTATCGGTCTGTACCTGATGATGATGATAATGATAATAATAATGATAATAATAATAAGAAGAAGAAGAAGAAGAATATAACAATAATGACACACAAATATATACGTACGTACAACAAAGTACACAAACAGCCAGAAAGCATTCAGACCATATATACAGGATCTTCTCTTTCTCGTACGTCAGAGCTGGTTGCCATGACAATCTGACGTAATCAGTGCTGCTAACAGCTGCTAACTGATGTTGCGTTTCATCGGCTGATTGAGAATTAAATCTCGAAATTTGAGACTAGTTCTTTGTTTAAATGAAAAAAAATGTAATAAACTAATGTGTGATTGTACAAAATACAAGAAGGATTAGAATTACGTCTTAAGACGACCAAAGCGGAAGTGACGTAGATAGTGGCGTAGACGTTGCTAACAACGCAGTCGTAACTTCCGGCGTCGCCATTTTCCAAGATGGCGATTGTCAGGTTGCCGCCATTTTGATTTCTTCTCGACGTCATCAATTTATTGCTGTTTGACTGTGAAAATGAGTTGTTCGTTAATGTTGTTGTTGTTGTTGTTGTGATTTGTCTATGTAGTTGTTGTTGTTGCTCTATGTTTTTGATATCATTGTCATTAATGTTACGGTAGCTGATGTTGTTGTTGCTGTTGTTGTTGTTGTTGTTTTTTTTCACTCCAAACATATTGTGGTGCCTTGGTAGCAGTGTATGCTCGAATTTTGAAGCGGGGGGCGTTATATTTCTATTAATTTTTATCGTATAATACAAAAAGAATTTTATTTATTGAAATTTTTCCCTCTTATTTATAGTTTTTGGTTTTGTTGTCAGAAATAGAAAAGTTTTTTTTCTTCGTCTGACGATAATGGCGGCCGCAAAAAAATTATACAGAGTCTTTGGAGAAATTGTTGTTGTTTTTAATGTTGTTGTTATTATTATTGCTATAGTCGATATTATTGTCACTATCATTGTTATCATCATCAACAACAACAACATCATCATCATCAAAAACAACAACAACAACAGAACTAAAAACAATAGTTGTAAAAGGTGATAAATCAAAATGTTAATTGCTGACCACAAAACCCTGCCTGTCACTCTCATTTTCGAAATTTCAAATTAACTCTACATCGTCACCACCACCACCATCACCATCATCATCATTCTCTAATCATCATCACCACCATCATCATCATCATTCTCTCATCATCATTCTCTCATCATCATTCTCTAATCATCATTATCAGCAACACCACCATCATCATTATCATCACCTTCTTCCAGGCAACCAGCGGGGCGGGATCTCCCTCCCCAGAACACACCATCGTGACGTCATCGCCTATGTTACGTTGGTAGAGAGGGCTTGGGTAGGTTGAGAATATTGGCGGATCTATTTTTAGAAACAAAAATTTGTTTGTCTGTTTGTTTGTTTGTTCGTTCGTTCGTTCGTTTGTTTGTTTGTTGCGAATGCTTTAGCGTTTGAATCAGTTGAGAACGCAACCGTTTTTAGAAAATAGTCCAACCTCTCTAACACTTTAAAACCTGATATTTTGTCATTTTTGTGGTCAGCCATAATAAAGTTGTTTATATGTTTTTACTTATCTTTTTGGAGTTTTTTTTACGTTTCGTTGTTTATTTCCTGTTCATGCCTCGATTTGAAGTGAAACGTGTTTTGCTGTTGTTGTTGTTGTTGTTGGTAACGAGGTATTGTTTCATTGTTATGTTTATTGCTATTATTATTATTATTATTTTTTATAACTTATTATTTTTATTATTATTATTTTTATTTTTCTTATTTTTTACTATTTGTTTGCTCTAAGAATCCTTTTTATGATAA